GGAAGTTTTTAGTACCAATAACCTTTCAAACTATCTTTCTTTTCAGAAAAAGTATCTTAAGGTGAAAATTTCCTCCCCCAAACATCGAAAAATCATAAAAACCGATCAACGCAGCACAATAGCAAGTGTTTCAAAAATTTTTGAAGATGCAAACAACGAATATCCCTGGCTAGGAGATTGGAGGAGGACGGGAGCCTGAAGTTTTCTATGTGTTAACATATGCAGTTTGTTTGGTGCTGCTGGCCTACTATATAATTAAAATTCAAACGAAGTAAAATATTGCCAAAATTTTTAAAATTCAGTTAAAATCGGCAAAAAACCTTCGAGAAAAATTAGCCAAAATTTGTTAGTTTGGCACTAAAAGTTGGGGACTTAATTCTGCCCCCAGGATAAATAATCCCCATATGAACTATTCACTCGTTTTGACTGCAAACTGGAGCTGGTACATTTTAGGACATCTAAGCCGCCATCAGCTTAATTCTAAGCAATCTTATGTCGAAACCTCTGTAAGTAATCCAGGCACGTGCTACCACTTGAGTTTCCTTGCTACTCACCGGAAGCAAATACCAGAACAGTTTAACTTTTCATATATTTAAAATTCAAACGAAGTAAAATCTTGTCAAAATTTGTAAAATCTAGCTAAAATCGGGAAAAAAGGCCGATAAAAAAACTGACCAAAACTTGTAAAATTCAGTAGAAAGTTTTAATAAAAAGGAATAGAACAAAAAGAAAAAAGACTGTAAGCAATGAAAATTAGAAAATTTTGTGTAGTGGTAAGAAATGTTTCGGTCCATTAAATCCAGAAAGTTTTAATAAAAAGGAACTAAACACAGAGAAGGAAAAAAGAAAAAAGACTGCAAGCAATGAAAATTAGAAAATTTTGTTTAATGGTAAGAAATGTTTTGGTCCATTAAGTCCATTAAAAAAAAAAAAAAAACAAAATATCGCTAATTTTTTATGAAAAAAAATATAGCAAAGAAAAAAAAACCATACACTGTCACTATCGTCAAGCATGTCAAGTATTGTATCAGCACCAGCTGTTTTAGCGGTTGTTGCCATTGATGCTGTTTCAAAATCATTTTCATTTGCGAATTTACTTCGGTCATTTTCACCTGTTTCTCTTGCTTTGCGTTCTTTGCGACGTCTGTAACTTGGGAAAGTATGAACAAAGACAGAATCATTAATTTGTCTACTGTAAATGATTCAAATAATAACCATGAGATACAGAAAAACCCGTACCAAAACTCCGTCAAGCACTACTATCAGTAGAACCGTAGAGCTAGCAATCCCTTTAAAGGGCAAAACGAACATCCAGATCGCTAGCCGTGCTGATCATCGAACAAAACAGAATCGTTAACAACAAGTTGAAAAGTTGTTATCTGTACAATTTGTCACATAATGATTTATTGCTTTTTGTTAAAAACTTAATAAAGAACCATTGCATCATTATGATGCAACACCCCTGGTCCCTGGTTCAGTCTTTGGACATCCTACCCTCTTTAAAGTTATGCAATCTCTGCAATCTCCGGCCACCGGGGTATAAAAGCATTCCTCCCCATCTCCAGGATCCAAAGTCGCTGTTTTCTTCACACAACTCCGTTCTGGGGGATTTCAACACCCCAGAGCCTGGCCACCTTTTTTTTTTTTTATTATTTTCCCTATCTCGCTTTACGCTGTATGACCTTACTTTCTGCATAATTATAAATATATACATATATATAATATCTATAACTAGGTGAGGACTGTCCATACACAGTCATACTCACACACATACGTAGAGCACGCACACTAGTCTAACCCACAACCATATAAGTTGGAATAAATTGAAGAACAAACTATAGAATACAGCAGATACACGTTCCCCCAAGTATACTTCTCAGGTGACTGAAATTATTAGCACTAGTACAGCACATTTCAAATGAAGTGCTACGAGCCAGATCTGGGGTGAAAGATACTGCTGGAGCAATGTATGCCAGAAAGAGGAGAGGGGCTGGTTATGTGGCACGGATGACAAATAACAGATGGACGAAACGGATAATGGAATGGCACCCACGCGCAGTCAAGCGAACACTGGGGAGGCCATCAGTGAGGTGGAGAGACCCCATGGTATGCCTGTACGGTATCACGCGGACTCGGACAGCGCAACAACGAGAAGAATGGAGAAGTTGCCAATGGTGCATCGATGGTGTGACAACGAATGTCGATAACATCTACAGCTGCTCAAGTATTCAAATAAATGATATTCTCAGTAAATAGAAACCTTATTTTTGCTATTGCCTTCAGCTGCTTTACCCAGTCCGGTTTATCCGTTCGATTAAGCAAAATTTCAACACCAAATCTGTCTACCAGAACTTCCAGAAGCAATCTGTTCGCTTTTCGAACTTTAACTGTGACATCCGCTGTTAGCTGACCATCAAATACCGTTGAGGTGAACAATTCCTGAAAAAAACAAGCAGTTTTCTTGAAGCCGATGTAATATGCAGACTGAGTACTTAATGCCAAAAATGTGAAACAGAAAACATAAAAAAAATCAAATTTTCATCTCAAACATAATTCCTGCACTTTTTTCTTTTCTTGGAATGCTTTCATTCATCTAGATTCTTATCCAGCTATGCCAGGTCTTTCGATTCCAAGCTACATATCAGTTGGTACCTGACTGATATAGGCTAATTATTAAGAGGACGCTCGGACGATCGCTTCCAACTTTTCTAAGACTATTACTTGCTTAAAAAACACAGGAAGTTTTATGCTACCTTATAAATATATATATTTTTGGATCATTTTACCATCGAAACCAAAAACCACGAAAAATCCACAAAATTTAGACAAAACTTTTTCGCCTCTCCCATTATCTTCATTGCCATTCCTTCCAAACACCTTATTACTTGACATTCTTGCATGGTGGTTAGCGGGCTGTACTGACGATTCCCGCTCTTAATCGCATCTTACACTCTCTGTGTTTACAACTAAGGGATGAAACACTGGCAAACCTTTTTCTACATATTCCTCTCTACACGTCCATTCAAAACGTCGTACGATTTTGTACCACATTAACAGCTCTACTATCTTTTCCATCATAATCTGTTACACTAATTCCACCCCAGATTAAAATTTATGGACTATGGCTGTTCCATATTTTCCATGCTTCGGACTGCCCCGTTTGTTTCGGAGTTTACAGTTCGGTTCACCAACGGTCTCAAATTGTTCAGTCAATTTTATTCCACCCTTGGCCCTACTCCGGTTATTCCATATTTTGGATCGTCCACTTCTACGATTCGACTTCGAAACGGCCGCAACTTATTATACATAAGATTTTTCCTACTTCATTTCCGACTTTTCCAATTTATCAGACCCTTGTGTTTCTACTTCCATCTCTCTTCCCTGTTCTTTCCCTCATCTTTCCACCTGCCTTTCACTTCCTCCTTCTTTCTTCCCGTTTTTCTTCTCCTTACGCACTGCGACCGTCATACTGGCGAGGTCCAGTCACAGTGTTGAGTTAAAGATGTGCAGCGAATTTTCAGCCTCGCAGCTTATCCGGTAAGCGGAATATTCACATTTTTGAAGTGCTCTAACTCGTGGCGCAAGTGCAAATCGGTATTCATTTTAGGTACACTACTTCCTAAATGGCAGACAGACATCCTGACAAAATTTCAGGACCGAAATGTCTTATCTCACTTACACTTTCCTTAATCTACACTACTACTTTCTCGTAACTCCTTCACGCCCTGCCATCTGCACTTCCAGGGTTATCCTGAAGGCTGCAGTCAGCTTATAATTTCAGTATCCCATCAAAAACCAGGGATAATCCCCTGCTAAGTTTAAGTTCTGAAGATTGCTGCAGACTTCCAGAAAACGAATAAAGCAATTCTACCCCTTGTAAAAATCCTGGCTTACCTGATACTGCTGCATGGTGTAATCAGGAAGTTTTTTCGCCAACATTCTCAGTAATCGAATAACCAGAACTCGTACTACCGGACGCCCATCACCGATCCAACTACAGGCATGCGCTATTAGTTGACTGAGCGCTGATGCATCCAAAAGGCGAACAAATTTTTGCGCTATTACATTCAAGGCAATTGTAGCTGACCTGAAAAAAAGATCGGCTTTATTCCAAAACAGACAAAAATATCCAAAATATGAAAAATATATATAAAATACTCTTTTTTGTGGTACAATATATTAAAACATTTTGAAATATGTTACTTACAAAGTACGTCATGCATATATCTCCAGTGAACTACTGCGATTCTGGTCTGTCCAAACATCTTGCTATTTGACACATGGTTGTTAGGTGGCTGTACTGATGGTTCCCACCCCTAACCGCATCTGATACTTTCGCTGTTTACAGCTAAGGGATGAAACACAGGCAGACCAACACTTCTACATATTCCTCTTTACATGACTTTTCAACGTGTCACACGGTTTGTGCCACATTAGCAACCCTACTATCTTTCCCATCATAATCTATTAACTAATCCCACCCAACATTAAAATTTATGGAGCACGGCCGTTCCATATTTTCCACGATTCGGACTGGCCGTTTATTTTAGAAATTACGGCTCGGCCTACCATGGGCCGCAAATTATTTATCAATTTAACGGGCCGCAAATTATTAATCCACTTGGACCGTCCACTTATGATTCGGCTTTCTAATGGCTACTTATTATCCACAAATATACGCATAAATCAAACAGACATGCCATGCATTTGAATATAGTGACCGGATTAATCCACTGATTTGCAGTGCTTCTCTAGAAGAGGCCACAGATCGAGGCTGCCGATAGCATCGACAAAGTTTAGCATAAAAAGAGCAAAGAGCACTGACAACATTCTACTTCCTGGAGTGCTTTCCCAATCTTTTTTTTTGAAAAATGTTATTTTCAGGTT